AAATGCTTATAATCGATACCCCGAAACTTCCAAGCAGGCCTTTAGGAGCAGCTGGATCAACGTGCTAAGTAAGGTTTGGCCATGTTTTAATGGTCATTTAATTGAAGCATTTGTGGGCTAAAATTGCAGTTTTGAAGTTACTTGATGTTAATATTTATGTTTGATATTTTCGTGATAAAGAAATACTTATGCATCTTATCATAACCTGTTTAGCCCCCATTTTTTTAAAATTCATCTTTAATCACACGTTCTTCTATAAAATAATATTACACATAAATAAAAAAAATTTCTTATTTTTTAACCATACATTTGGAAAAAAAAATAATTAAAAAAAATAACTATTCCAAAACTCATATTTTTCCAAATTTTCATTAAAATGGAGCCCAAACAAGGGCTTAATTTTTAATTCTTAATTTTGTTGATTTGTCGTAACAAATAATGTAGTTTGATGACATTTCGGAACTTAATAGGTCCAATAATTGAATGAGCTGTATACCATTTGAAAATTTGAGTGACTATTTCCCGTAAGAATTAATTTCAGTAACCATTGTTGTAGTTATTCAAAAGTTGAGTCATCATTAGCCTTATTAACCCAAAACAAAGTGTCATTTCTTTATTGTTGGGCCGATGGAGTTGCAGTAGTATAGAAGCTGCTAGATTTGTGGATGACGGTCGAACTCAACATGTTAATTGAAAATTAAGCAAGTGCTATGGGCCAACCCATGACTCGATCCACTTAGAAAATTCAGAAGACAAGTAGACCCCAAGTGGCCCAGTCTTATGCCACCTAACAAGTGTGTTGGTGATTTGGGAGAAGTGGCAACCAGAACGAGGTCTTATAGCGTTATCAATCTCTTCAAAATTATCATATCAACAACATTAGTAGTCAAATCTTATATTTTTATGAAGAATTGGTGAAAGGAGTGAATGACGAACCTTAAAACAACTTTGAGGAGTGAGGCGAAGTTAGACTTTTCCTTTTCCTTTTCCTCTTTTTTTTTTTTTTTTTTTTTTTTTTTTTTTAATATAAATCTTTTTAATGTTTAGTTTATTTCTTTAATTTAAAGGAAAGTTAAAAATATAATGTCATATAAATAAAAAATTGACTATTTAGTTGTAGGTTTCCAATATAATTACCCACTGTTTGATAGCTATCATTTAGAGAAAATAGAGTTTTGAATATTGATTTTTAGGAGAATATGACGTTAAGAAGGAAAAAAATTTAGGTTTACGTGTAGAATATTTTATTTGATTTTCTCGCTCGAACTCTAAGAAAGACAACGCAAAATGCCAATTCTTCTGAGAATCCTTTTATCAAAAGCCTTGTTTTGCTGATGGAGACAATGTGGAGCCTCATGCTCAGCCGGTTAAGCCGATTGCTCATCCCCGACAATTTGAAGGAATAGTGCCATTGGTATCATTCCTGTCTTTGTTAGTCCAACTCGTGTGTGTTTTTTAACTATCAAAATCAAATATTTTGCGTTCCCTTGATGAGAGGGAAATGGTAGGATCCTTGTTTGTTTCTCGCATCCCTATGCCCAAAAGGATGGGCGAGTTCGGTTTGAGTCTTCATCGATCGTTTTATCTTTTTTTCCACTTTCAGAAGAATAAATTCCTTCTATTGTTAGAATTTTCTGAAAGGTAACTAAAATTAGACTAAAGGTCTCGCTTACACTTCTTGGTTCCCTCTCCATTGCAGTGTGATGGTATGCAAGAGGGCAGGAGGAGTGTAGTTCTAATGGGAAAGAGTTGTATACATTGCATTGAGCCGGGTTGTGCCGGTCCCTTTCCTTGGTAGGTCCGATTAGATGAATATCTCGTGCCATGGTATGAAACTATAAGGGGATATCAGGTCCTTGTCTCTCTTCAACATAATATTCCTCCCGCTTCACGATTTTCAATTTATTGTGGTCGAGTATAATTATATTATACAAAAATGTTGTTGACCGAAAGAAAGAAGGTATATTGTACGCCTAGCCTCCCGTGTGCCTAACAAGAGAAAAAGCAAACTTTATCAAATGTGCGCAAACAGAGATGCCACTAATCAATGATGTCCACCGCCCCTTATATTAAAGTAAGATCAAGTTTTGCTTGGAAACCGGCAAGTTTCCAAAACCTATCGATAATCTCAAGTTAAGAGTCAACCACTTCCACGGCAATACTCATGTGCTCTACTCCAACCAAGTAGTCCTTCTTGCACTGAAAGGGGGGAAGCATCCAATTCCATGCCTCCCTCCCTATTGAATGGATTAAAAAACCTCGACTGGGTCAGCATTGATGAAAAAAAAAAAAAACTTCTCCCATCGCATCACAAGATCTGATAGTTATGATTAGAATCTTGCAACTACAAAGATTTTCGGAGCAGTGAATCCTCCATCATTATGTCATTACACTCTGCTAAGAGACACGGGGGATACTCGTCGCTGAATGCCAGCCTAATATGGTTTTTCAACTCTTTGTTTGATATAAAACTCTTTCTTTGTTAAATAGACGATTGCAACTATTATTAGACGTGCCTATGATTGGTGTGAGGACAGAGTAAGGCGACATATGAGAGGGAACTTCTAGAAATGGAATTCTTACTCGAAAATCATAGAGAAATGATCAATCTTCAGAAGGTCCGAGGTCATCTAGAATAAGTTGCACAGTCGTTCCATCAAAAGTTGGAACCTTTACATAGTCACTATATCATTCATTAAATCAAAACTCTATTTTTTATTTCATTTTTTTTTTTTTTTGGGTTGCCGAATTCATTTTTAACCATATATGTATACAATAAAATATTTTAATTGTAAATTCAAAGAAATTTCTTTTTTTTTTTTAATCACACATTTTTCTAAAAAATCATTAGTATAAAACTCATTTCAATGGAAGATAGTCCCGAATTTTTACGCAGTCTAACGAAGATTATATCAACTAATTCATTTGGACTGGCCACCTGTCTAAGCTTTGTCGTGGCATATTAATGGCGAAAAAAAGAGGTTAGACTAAAATGAGCAATTCAAATTTTTTTTGGCTGATCATGAAGTCTTAGTTGAAGATCAACAATTTCACGATCTGAACATAACAACCATAAATAAAGTGAAGGTTTTAACGACATCACCCAGATTTAGAGAGTGGATGATGTTAAGAGAACGAACAATTATGTGATAAGTTTAACTTCACAACTGAACCTTAGTTACCAGAAATTAGCATGTAGACACCTAACTCTAAGTTAAAAATTCGATAGATCATTGAACTTTGCATAATATTTTTTTCGAATGGTCACTGTACTTATTTATTATTTATTTCAATTGGCCATTATACTTTTAAAAGTTAATCAATTGTCATCAAACTTATCAAATCGTTATCTCATTGACCTTTGCAGTTTGGACTTTCAAATTTTTTTCGAATGATTATTGAACTTATCAAATTTTTATCCATTTATTACTTAATAATTCACAATTAGAAATTTTGATAGAATCACTCCCGTGACAAATTGAAACACTAACTTGATACATTGTTGCCGTTATTTGATGACAGATCAATCAATATATTAGAAGCGTTCACAAAAATTGCGATTGAATTTTAAGCTTTGCAAGTTTTCTTTTGTTTATCTGTATTTTTATTACATTTTTTGTGTTAATCGCATTTTTTAGCGTTTCATCGTCAATTGACGATAATAAGGCAACATGTTAGCATTTTCATTGGCCACGTCACTAAGTTTGTCGAATTTTCTAACATTGTGTTATTGAGCGATGGATAGGATAACAATTTGATAAGTTCGATAACCATCCAAAAAGTTCATTAAATTTAATGATAATGAGATAGCAATTTGATAATTTTGATGACGATTTGAATAACTTTTAAAGTTCAATGGCCAATAAAAGATATTGTGTAACCATTTAAATTTTTAACCCGCAACTCTTTTTTAAAATAAAATTTTTCTATTTGTACACTAGGATCAAGGGTGAATTCAGGATTTCGACTCAACTATGGTGGTCATTCAACGGCCGTATAGCGATGTCGTTTATTAATATTAAATTTTTTTTGATCTATATGTAAATACATTAAAACGTAAAAATCGTATATTTATATCATATTATAGTTCAATATATTTCGAAATAATATAAATTACATAATATATAAGACTTTTTGTGTTACCAATGCTTAATAACTCGTTTGCTTGACTAGAAGTATTTGAGAGATTAGATACACCATTACAAGAACTAAATTGAGATTTAGTTGAAAAAATCATTCCATAATAAGTATGAGAATTTAAAGTTAATTAAAGATTAAACATAATTAAAATTAATTCTAAAATATAATTAAAGTATCAATTCCCAATTCTCATCACCAATTCATCACAAATTATAAATTCCTCAATTTCTCATTTTCAATTTTTATAAATCACATATTCACATTTCACGATACTTAAATTAATTTTTAATATCACAATTCACAATAGACAAATTCTCAAATAACACATAAATTAAAACTCAATACTTATAAGTCATATCTTATAAATTATTAAAGCATAAAATATTTAAAACGACAAAAATCAACAAAAAAAGAAAAAGAAATAGTCATTGACTCACCTAGAATTTTAACATATATTATTTTGTTAAATTCAAATTTAAAATTCAACTATTGTCATGATGGTTGAGTTTCCAATCATCCCAAGTCATAGCTTCGAATCATTTCCTTAGAAAATTAATTTTGATAAATATTGTAGAAATACAAATTTTGCACAATGAAATGAATAGAAATAACTCGAACCCGAGACTCGCAATATATAAATACAAGCTTTAACCAACTAGGCGAAAGAATGTTTGAAAATAAAATGAACTATCAGTTATATAACTTAAAGTTTTTATCTACTATCAAAAAAAAAAAAATTTCTTCCCGACGAATTCAGTTAGGACGACCACCACCTAAATCCACCCCTGAATGGGGATGATCGATCTCTTCATAAGAGGGGGCACATGTACCCGATTTGCATGTGGACAAACCCTTTGAAATAATTCAATTATACAGGACAAAATAAAATTAATCCTAGGCTAGGCCCCTGCCCGCAATGGCAGAGTCCAAACCCAGTCATCTTTGCCTATACATAAGCTCCAGCGTTCGAATCCCTTCTCATACTATAATTTGTCATAAAATAACTCTCCAAAAGACAATAAAACCCCTTCCATCATTCTCCCCTCACCGTCCCTAGGGTTTGTCAATTGTCACTGGTTCCTGTCTAAGCGATAAAAACTGGTCCACCATGAAAATAAAGCTCCACACACCGATCAACACTGGCCCATTACCGGAACCGGAGTTCTCCTTCAGATTGACCAAAGTAGCGTTGGCCCAGATCTGCAAATCGGTGGGCTTCAAGGCGGCCCAAAGCTCAGCCCTCGAAGCGCTCACAGACATCGCCACCAGGTACTTGAAAGTAATAGCCAAGTTGGCTGCAGACTCTGCCAATTCTTGCCGCCGCACTGAATCGAACCTCCTTGACGTCATCGTTGCCCTCGAGGATTTAGGTTCTGTACGAGGTTTTCGGGGTGGGTCTGATACAAAAGTACGTACATTGTACAAGTCGCAGGTGGTTAAAGATTTGATGGAGTTTGTTAAGTATACAGATGAAATCCCGTTTGCTCGGCCGTTGGATGGGAAGTTTTTTTGTGGGGGTGGAAAAGTGAATTTTTTGAAACATACGGGGGTTGAGGATAATAATAATAATTGGTATTGTAATGGGGCGGGATTAATGCACGTGCCAAGGTGGTTGCCTATTATGCCGGAGATGGGTGGCGAGGAAAAGGGAGAGGGAAGGAAAAGGGAGGGAAAATGGGGGTGTTTGGATGGTGGCATTGAGGGGGACGGGGAAAAGAGATGGGAGAGGGGAATTGGGGAGGGAAAAGTGGTCGAAAAAGAGGGAAGTAAAGAAATTGAATTGTTAAGGAATAGAAAGAAGGTGAAGTTTAAATTGAGGGTGGATGGGAACAGAAGTGATGGTGCAATAGTGGGGGATTATAGGGGTGAGGTGTGTAGGGGTGTTGGAATTGGGAAAAGGGTTCTTTGCAAGGATTGGAGTGGCGGTGGAGGTGGTTGCGACGGGAAGAAAATAAGAGGATGTTAAAGAGACACGAATAAGATATCAAGATAGCGTAGCGTAAGTAAGAAGAACTGGTTGGAGATCATAATGTTCACTCAAACATTGACTTTGGTGCGATACAATGGAATGTAAGGAAGTTCCATAATTTGAGAGAGAAAATGGATTAGAAACAAGCAAGCATTGTGATATTTTGAAGGAATCGAACTACGGTTGATGGAGGAAAAACATGCTCGCAAGTCACTAATACCAAACGGATTATGCTCGCTGTTGGCTAAAGTTTTGAATCTGTTCTTTTTTTTCACTAGAATTTGGTTCCAAACAGATTTTGTACCTTGTTATTTATGGTCATGAATGATGCCTGACCTCAGAATAAGTGGAACCATGTCTTCATTGTAGTGAACAAGTTGAATTTAAGTCCCGGAATTATATTTAATTACTATAATATTACTATGCTTGATATGGAAAATTTGTTGATACGTAGGAGTGTTTGTATCGAAGGAAGTCGGCTCATGACGAATTTCGAGTGATAGAATAAGATGGCCAAAAGCAAGTCATAAATTGCTTCTTTTCCCAATATAGAGAGATTCTTGTTTCCCCTCTATTTTGTTTGTTGCTTGAAAGGGTAAATTATCTTCAAAAAAAAATAAAATAATAATAATAATAATAAAAAAATAAAATTATATATATTGTTGCACCCCTTCAAATCATGTTTTATATTTTTTAGTTTTGCTACACTTGCATCTTTGGTTTACAGTTCATAATGTGACACACAATTTCGCCATTGATTCAACAACAATTCAATGGTATCAACTTTGTCACACCATGGAATGTCAAACTAGTTGTACATTGACAATGAACATATCTAACCTCTATTAAAAGGGGAAGGAGATGACACCATTGATTGAACGGTAAATGAATCACGTGTTACTGTACAAAATACAGAATGACCTCTTTTTTTTTTTTAGTCTTCCATTATGCATGACTCCTCTTCACCTCCCCTTCATGCAACCGTCTGGCTTCCTTCATTTCTCAAAGCAACCTTCCATGCTTATTTCCTTCATTCTCCACGACCGTGCAACTTCTCCTTTCTTCTATTCATTTCTTCTTCTCTTTTTTGTATTTTGTTTTCCTTTAATTTGGTGGTTGACATTCTAGAAGTTCTAATAATCTTTTTTGTTTGCATTTACAGAGGCTTTTCATTATAGAACAATTGAAAGAATTATTGAAACAAGGTTTTTGGTAAGTAAATATAGATTTTTTTATTTTACTGTATGGTTCTAGATAGATTTTTTAAGAAGGTATTATTCCCGAAAGATTAAGGATTTTATTTTGTTTTACAAGGCAAGCAAAAGATAAAGTAGTTCTAATGGATCGCTTGGGTTGGAAAAAGGCCAATTTCTTCAGCCATTCAAGTTGGTAAGTTCTGATTTTGAATTTTTAATGATTTTGGTTTTTTGATTTTCATTTCTTTTATTGAAAGGTAAATAATAGTTTTAACTCATTGTAATCTCCTCAAGGTGGTTAGTCAAATAGATGAAAAATATGGTAAACTAAAAAAAATGACTAAATAGTTTTATAGTTTGAAGCTGCCAAAAAAGATAAAAAGAAAAAGGCAATTGAAATCACTTGCTGGGACGCATTGGGAAAGCTTCTTTCTGGGAGGTAGATTGGCAAATTTTCACTTTGTTTCATTACTCACATCATTCAAACATTATAGTTGGTGTGATGGAAGCTTATCACTTCTAAAAACAATTGATTTAGATTTATTCATATTCTTGGAGCCAAGTGCTTTCCAATGTTATATTTTTTTTTGATTGTATTTGTTTAACTTTTGATCTCACTTTGGTAAATAATATGTTATAGTTAAGATTTTGTCGTCATTTAAAAAAAAAACACTTTTCGAACTATTTGAAGAGATGGCAAACCATCTCTCCGCACTGTTCGGAGAGATCAATTGATCTCTTCAAACTGTGCGAGAGATTTATTTATTTATTTTTAATCTATATCATTACTTGACAAGTGCATTTTCATTTTTTTTTTATATAATTATGTTTAATTTATTTATATAAAATACTTTAAAAATAATAATTATTAAGCTAATAAAAAATACACTAAAAAAATTATATAAATCAATTTTCTCAAAAAATTAGTAACAAAAAAGTAAACAAAATGCATTTACCTATTTTTAATTTCTTCTAATTTACTAATTTAATAATTTAAATGAATTTTTTTTTTTTTACACATGCTGTGTGGAGTCTTTGTGGAGTCTTTGCACAATTTGTGTAAAGACTCCGCACTGTGCGGAGTTCGCGCATGATTTGTGCAAAGTCTCCGCACAAGTGAGGACTCCCCCTTTTTTTTTTGCTGAATCATGCAATAAATATTTGTTTGCTTTGTTATTTTATTAGTTAAAAATATTCATTAATTCTAATAAAAATATAACTACAGGAATAAGTTAAAAAAAACAACTCTCCCCCATATGTACGTAGATTCCGCACAAAAATGTGCGGAGTCTTCCCATTATCGGAGTAATGTGCGGACACTTCGCACAATCTGTGCGAAGTCTCTGTACAGGTTCGCATAGATTGTGCGGAGTGTGGACAATCGGCACAGATTGTGTCGATTCTTCGCACAATTTGTGCGGACACTGTGTGGACAATCCACACAAATTGTGCGGAGTCTCCACACAATGTGCGGACGGAGTGCGCACACTCCGCACAAATGTGTTGAGACTCTACACCCTGCGAGGTCTCACACAGATTTTGTGGAGTCGCACACTATGGTTTCTTAGCAATTTTTTTTTAATTTAATCATGCAATTAGTATGCATTGATTGTGCGAAGTGTGCGGACAATTCGCACAAACTGTGTTGAGACTCCGCACAGATTTTGCGGAGTTGTACACTAAGGTTTCTCCGCAATTTTTTTAAATTTAATCATGCAATTAATTCGTTATATTATTAGTAAAAAATATGCATTAAATCTAATAAAAAAATATAATTACAACAATATAATACCAAAAAACTCTCAAAATAATCGTTTCTAATAATAAAAGAACCTAAAAAAACCAAGAAGACAAAAATGAAAAAAGTAAAACAAAGAATGATGCCGAAAAATTTGGCATTATTGTTCGAATAGAAAATGCATTATTGATACACAAAAACTTTTGCTGTCACAGGTTAAAATATAGATTTATTGCATGATGTTAAATTTTTTTTACATAATCATAATAAATCTTTTTATTACGCTAATAAAATTACAATAATTTTTTTCAAAGTAGCATAAAAAATCAATTTTATTTTCAACAAAAAACACATTTAATAATTAGTAATTTCATAACCACCATTCTTTTTTTTTTAATTTCCAGAAATACAATTATAAAAAATGAAACAATATTGAATTACAACAGCCAATAACTACCGTATTAAAGACAATATGTGCAGTAAATATGTGGTATGCTGCATATACGGTAAGTTGTAAATACGGATTGCTACAAATACGATAAGCTGTAAATACGGTATGCGTAAAAACGATTGGCACTGTATTTGCAGCCTACTTACCGTATTTGAAACCTACTGTATTTGCAGACAACTTACCGGGTTTAAAACTTATCGTGTATGCTGCCTAACATATTTGTAACTTATCATATATGTTGCTTACCATATTTGCAACTTACCGTATATACCAATTTTTGCATTTACAAGTATCAAGAGTGCAGAACACTGTAGATTCACTTACAAAGTTGAATGTAAGAAAATAAATTTTAGATGTTTATTTTTTTGACATAAGCATAAAATAAATATTAAAATATATGAAACACAAAATATAAATGCATATAAATATGCAAATGGATTTATAACTTTGTGCTCAATTTTCAATATTGAATTAGAAATATAATCTTCATATTCAATTCAATCATATCAACACTATCAAAGAATACATGCAAACTAGTTTGTATATTTCTTATTCAAGCATGAAATATACAAACATATTTTTTTCTAGAAAACACAATACTGTTGCAATTGTAAAAATAAATTACAATTATTTTCTTATATCATGAAAATATTTCTAAATATTGCTTCAAAAACTTTTCAAAAAACTAAAATTCATACTATAATAAAAATATGATAAATACAAAATTCATGCAACGCACGTGATAGTTACTCGTGTATATATATATATATATATATATATATCTATCTATCTTTGGTTGACAGTTTTGTTTACATTTCATAATGTGACACACAGTTTTGCCATTGATTCAACAACACTTCAATGGTATCAATTTTGCTACACCGTGGAATGTCAAACTAGTTGTATATTGACAATGAGCAATAAAATAATATATATAAATCTCGTAGAACACCAATTTACTATTAAAAATGGCTTCAATTTGGGGGCTATTTTGAGTGAAACCCATTTCTCATTTTGAAAGATCAAAATAAATTTGTATTCTCTTCCGTAAGAACATTAAAATATTATATTTACTAGCCAAAAATGATGTTTCGATGAATGAGAAATTATAGTTCAAAGTGTACTAAGAGATTTATGTGTTGGAGAGAAAATTAGCATAGTTCATTCCATATATAAAAAAAAAAGATAAGATAAAGACTACTTTATATATGGTCTCACTTTTTAAAAATATAATTATACATAATACAGAGATCCTCTCTCAATGTACAACTAGTTTGACATTCCACGGTGTGGCAAAATTGATACCGTTGACGTGCTGTTGAATCAATGGCAAAATTGTGTGTCATATTATGAAATTTGTATTCTCTTCCGTAAGAACATTAAAATATTATATTTACTAGCCAAAAATGATGTTTCGATGAATGAGAAATTATAGTTCAAAGTGTACTAAGAGATTTATGTGTTGGAGAGAAAATTAGCATAGTTCATTCCATATAAAAAAAAAAAAGATAAGTTAAAGACTACTTTATATATGGTCTCACTTTTTAAAAATATAATTATACATAATACAAAGATCCTCTCTCAATGTACAACTAGTTTGACATTCCACGGTGTGGCAAAATTGATACCGTTGACGTGCTGTTGAATCAATGGCAAAATTGTGTGCCATATTATGAAATGTAAACAAAACTATCAACCAGAAAAGCAACTGGAGCAAAACTGAAAAGTATGAAACACGATTTGATGGGGGTGCAATATAGAATTTTCGAGTCTAGAAACAATTAGATGAACAAAGTGCTTTTTTGTAGCAAAACTGAAAAGTATGAAACACGATTTGATGGGGGTGCAATATAGAATTTTCGAGTCTAGAAACAATTAGGCCCCGTTTGATTGCATGAAATTTTCCATGGAACTTGGAATTCGAATTCCAACTTCCACTTTTGACCTGTTTGATTGACAAAATTTTCCAGGGAATTGATTTTCCATGAATTTCTAGGTACAACACCTTAAAGCGTGATTTTCCATATTTTTTTTCCCAGGGGATAGGTGGTTTTTGGTTTTCCACCTTTTTTTATTTTTAATTTTTTTGCTTTTTTAATTTTTTCTTAATTGTTGGCAATGGGAACAAATTTTAGGAATAATTGTAAAAGAGGATATCCCTAAAATTGACAATTTCCACGTAAAACAAAATCAAACGAACATCAAAAAATACTTTTTACTTCAACATTTTCCACGTGAAAAATTTATACAATCAAACACAATAATTTACAATTTCCATGAAAACAATTTCTAGGTAATTCAATTCCCTGGAATCAAACAGACCCTTAGATGAACAAAGTAATATGGAAGAACAAAACGCCGTCTGTGGGAATCGAACCCACGACCACGTGGTTAAAAGCCACGCGCTCTACCGGCTGAGCTAAGACGGCTAGTTGTTTAAAATTCTGTTATATCAATGTAAACATGTAAACATTAAGGAGCACCGTGAAATTTACCGAAAAAAGGAACGGTCCCTCCTCGGAGTTTCACGCCAGTTCTAGAGGTTCTATTGCCCCTTTTTCCCATCTATATTGAAACCTCCTGGTATTTACGCCCCTGCGAATCAGCAAACCCTAGAGAAGAGAACTTTTCAAAATGGAGCCCCAAATCGTGGACGTACGATCAGTTGTAGAAGCAGTTTCTGCGGAAGACTCCGACGCTCCTGTCTACGAAGTCGAAAGCCTCTGCATGCGTTGCGGCGAAAACGTAAGCACCTCACTATTGACTCGGATTACTCTATCTTGGCATTCGTAGTAGTTGTACCTTGCTTTGCCAGGAAATGAGCTTTTTTCTTTCTTATTTGTCCATTGTAAAGTTGTGTGAACTCATTTTGCATTATTGGGGATACTGGGGTTGTTATGCTACTCATGCCTCTTAAATAATTTTACCGTATGAATTAGTAATTGTACCTTGCTTTACCTGCAAAAGAGCTTTCTTTCTTTCTTATTTATCCAAAAAAATCCAGATGAATTGTTCTTGCATTATCAGCAATACTGGAGTTTTTATAGTACTCATTGACTCCGTAGCATTACCAAGTGCTCTTTTATTTGCGCTATTGAGTAATTTTTTGAAATATGGGAAACCTGAAACCATTGATAATAATCAAATTTTATTCGAAAGGGCTATTTTGCCAACATAATTATAAAATGGATTCCGTTATTCTTCTTTTATTTTCTTTATTTTACCTTGATTGCATACGATGAGGTAAACCATGTCAATACTTTTACACGGTTTCTGACATACACTATTTTTTGACTGAACAGGGGATAACCAGGTTTCTGTTAACTCTAATACCACATTTTAGAAAGGTATATAACACCTTACTTGGTAAGCTAACTACTTTCTAGTACAACTTTATTATTATCACTTGTAAGTTGGACAATTATTAGATTAAGTGTATTAAAGATCAAAATTTGAGATTAATCAAAACCCAAGTTACCATTTTTCACAGAAACTGATTTTCTCTTGATTTTATATAAAATGTAATTGGAAATCTTTATATCTGGTTGCAGATATTGTTGTCAGCCTTTGAATGTTCACATTGTGGGGAGAGGTAGTTGATCACTTCTTTCCCTGCACTAAGTTTAGATCATTTGATCCCTTTAAAACGTTCTCTTATTCTCTCTTTATCTGGTCTCTAAAGGAATAATGAAGTGCAGTTTGCTGGTGAAATACAGCCTAGAGGTTGTCTTTACCGTCTGCAAGTTCCAGCAGGTGATCAAAAGGTTGTGTTCTGAGGAGCCTGATTGGGTAGACTTTTCTAATGATTATTTTGTTGTCTTGTAAAAATGCATTCCTGAAGTTACCAAAGGTGAAGAGAATGAAGTTTTAAGCTTCATCGGATGTAGTAATAAAATGTTTTGCTACAAAATTTTTAGTCTAAGATGTTTTTTATAGTTCAATGAATTTAACTGGATTAAATTTTAAGATATTGATATCATGGCATTGCAGGTTTTATGCATAAATATTTAATGATACTGTGAGATGTAGAAAAAAAATATTTTTGTTTAGCAGCCTAAAGATACTTTCTTGGTTGCTTAAATCTTTTTGGTTTAGATTTTACTATTTTCCCTCCCAATTTAAGTTGAATTATTCATGCCTTTCTTGGTTTTTTGATTAAATATCTTACTTTTGCTCTTTGCATAAGATTGAGTCTCACGTCGCTTTGCATTTGTGTCTTTAACCAGATATATGATGAGTTCTTGGTTTGTACTAGTTTAAGGCTTTAATCTTTCAGTTCCCTCTTCATGACCTTCTGGTCCAACTTGGTTTTTGTTTTCCAGTAATGCACTTACTGCCACCATCATTTTTTTTTTGGTCTCAGTGAACCCTTAAACCATATATTGTCATAATATATGCTTTCATTTCATTTTTTCCTGTTTTCAGTTGCACTTCTTCAGCCTTGTTGCAGCCTCCCTCTCTCTCTCTCTCTCTCTCTCTCTCGTGCAGTAGTTTGATCAACTTTCTTATATTTCTGGACTTGAGCCTTATTATGGGTGCTGGTTGGTTTCTCAATGCAGGTGCTTAATCGTCAAGTGGTGAAATCAGAAACTGCCACGATTAAGGTATTTTCTCTTTGTACTTGATGAAAAGTTGTCAACAGCACCTTTTAGTGTCAGTTTTTTCAGTGATGCATATTGGAATTACTTACATTATACATTGAATCACAGTTAAGAATTTATCACAAATTTTGTTGATGAGGCTTTACTTACACTAACTCATTTTAATTTTTATTTGTGTAGATCCCTGAACTGGACTTTGAGATACCGCCTGAAGCACAGCGTGGGTCTTTGTCAACGGTATACCCCTGACAACTTCCTTACAGTTGATATTTTCTCTTTATTGTTAATATTTCTAAAGTTGCACTGGTATGTTGAAATGGACCATGCATAAGGAAAAATATTGATACAGAACCTTTGCATGTCCTTTTCCTAAGATGGGATAAGCACCGTTTGGTCTTCCTTAAAGAAAAATGACATGGAAACATTATTTTCGGTTTTATAGGCGCAATAGCTAAAAGAGAAATCTTTGTCCACTTCTAGTGTTTTCTGAAATACACAGTGATTATTTTTCATTGATTTTATTACTGTCAGAATTGGTATTAAATTGACATTTCTTGCTGAACTAATCTATTTTTTAAGTGAACTCTTATAATAGCCCTTGTGCACTTTATATTGGTTAAGCAACAGTCTTAGAAAATCCAATTACTTACTTGCTGAGCCTTCTTTCTGCCAATTGGTTTTCTGTTACTAATTTTAGATTGAAGGGATATTGGTAAGAGCTGCGGATGAATTGGGGGCCCTTCAGGAAGAACGGAAGGTACAATTTTGTTTGCATTGTCATTTGGTTGTTATATGTTATCATCTTCTTGTTATTATGGCGATCTAACTTCTGTATATATCAGAAAGTGGATCCCCAGACAGCTGAAGCAATAGATCAGTTCTTGGTGAAACTGAGAGCTTGTGCCACTGGAGATTCACCATTTGCTCTCATTCTTGATGATCCTGCTGGTAACAGCTTCATCGAGAATCCGTAAGAGACCTTTTTCTTTATCTAAAACATAAAATTTTTAGGATGAAATCTTGTAAGTTTGTCACTTGAAAACTGGATTTCTGTATTCTTAACTGCTATTTGTCATCCAGAAACTAAGCTCTTGTTTGAGTTTCATTATAAGTTGTTGAAATTATGTGATAGAAATGAGTGTGAGTAAGTGGGTAGTAGATGTGGGTCTTACAAGATGTGTTAAAGTTTGACTTTGATCTTTAAATTATAAGGAGATTTTAATGAAAGGAGAACGAGCTTTAAAATAAAAAATCCTGCATGATTATTTAACAGGGCAAAGTTCTTTCATTTTTGCAGTACATTATGTTACTTTCAACATTCATATTTCTATGCTAGTTGATAAATGATGTTTGATAAGAATTGTCTGACCTCAAATAGGCTTGCTCCATCTCCGGATCCATTATTAACCATGCAAGCCTACGAGCGAAGTCGCGAGCAAGTTGCTTCATTGGGGTATCTTGAGGGAGAACCCAGTACCGAAACATCAGAAGAAAGGACAAACAATGTCTCTGAACAATTGCAAAGAGAACCACATGGCTCTGTTGGAGCAAGAGCTGGCCGCAGAGCTATTGCTCAGGGTAACAGTGCAGAAATTGCTGAAACTCTATTTCGATATTCTGCACCGGAGGAGGTATATTTTATCAGACATGAAAGTTGAACTTATTTTTGCACACTGGACTCATGTTGATTGATGATGCCTTTTTCTGGACAGGTCATGACTTTTCCATCAACTTGTGGAGCTTGTGCTACTCAGTGTGAGTGCCGAATGTTTGTTACAAGTATCCTTTTTAATGTCTTTTCTACCACTGGACATGGATAGCTGACAGCCATTTGTATTTAAATTTAGGATGTACAATGTATATGACATGTATACACTTAAATTAGTTTCTGAGGCAAGTGATATAAATGTTCCTTGAGTTATTTGACTCTGTTCACTTGGTGCTTAGAAATGAAATAGATGGGGAAATATTGTGAATGGCTCTTTTATAGCTCTAGCTGGGGTAAGGAAATATTTGTGATTTACTCTATTTGCTGCAGCTGAGCTGTAGTAGAGATGAAATAAGTCTTTTGGTTAGTTTGTGGTACTTATGGAGAAGAGGAATCATCACAGAAGAGTCTTTACACATTTTATTTAGTTGAATAATAGCAAGGCGTTTTCCTTTTTTCCTTTTAATTTGAGCCATTCTAATGTGTGCGGTTGAAGGAAAAGTATAAAGGTCTGTTATGTAAATCTATGTTGACTCCCTTTTTTAGGTAAAGATACTATGAAAACTGACGGGTGAATGATTGCATCTTCTTGATATATTATATTATTTTTTCCTCAATTTGTTTTTTGTGCTTGACGAAAAGTTGACCATGATGTTTCTACTTTACATTCATCCATGAGATATGTCAGCTTAACCATAGTCAGACATTCCATACTTCCAAGAAGTGATTGTCATGGCATCCTCTTGTGATGCTTGTGGTTACCGTAATTCAGAGGTTTGTCTTTGTATATTTACTGTAGTATGATTTATGATCTGAACTAATAAATACTATACCATGCCTTTTGGACTGATGGTTTTGTGGTTTATTTTTCAGGTGAAGCCTGGTGGACGTATTCCTCTGAAAGGAAAGAAAATCAAAGTTCATGTGAAGAACATAAAAGACCTTAACCGAGACGTGATAAAGGTATATATTTGGTCTGGTTAAGCTTTCCTAGTTTTTTGAGCTACTGTTTCAGACCACCATCTTTTGCTATTTTGAATCTGAAATGCTCCTACAGTATCTGAATTTTATGAAATTTTTTATCCTAGAATGGGGCACTACCCTCAGGCTACTGCAGTATGCCCCCTTATACTTTAGTCCAAAATTTAAAAACTCGAGGAATGTAAAAATGATATGCTGAAAAAATAATGCATTAGATTTAGATATCCTTCACAGTTTGCCAAAACATGGCATAGAACTGCACAATTGCTCCCTGTTCCTTGAGTTGTAGTTTTATTTTTCATTTTCATACTCTAGTTTGAATTTGTTAGAATACTTAATAATACATGATTATGGCGTAATGGTCTTATATGCTAACGTGCGTGTGTGTATATGTAACATTATAGGCCTTTCCTTGAACGTGTTTCTTTCTTTATGCCACAAAAACCCTTTATACTTCATGTTTAACTTAAAATTAGACAAGACGTTTTGAGTACGAATATTTATTGCTTTGTGTACTGTTTTGTATTGGTATCTCTTACAATTATTTTCTAATTAATGATCATGTGGTTCATAATAGTCAGATACGGCTAGCATAAAAATCCCAGAGATTGATTTGGAATTGGTGAGTGGCACATTAGGTGGACTTGTGACAACTGTTGAAGGCTTGATTTCCAAGATTAGTGAAAGTAAGTATCTTTATTGACCATTTTTTTCTGTTATTCCTCAAACACCCCCCCGCCCCACCCCACAAAAAAAAAAAATAAATAAATAAAAAAAATACACACACACACACACACATCCCCTTTTGAGGTAAATTGAGTGGAGGTAATAGCTGAGGGGTGAATCTGGGTGTGGGATAGGTTCATGTAGAGAAATAACAGTACATGCGTTGCTTGAGGGCCTCCAAACTCTTCTCTTTTGGAGAGGGAGAGAGTATATATGTGCTGTATATTCATGCATTTTAGTAGTCTTTATATGTGGACTTTTAACACATGACGTTGTTGCTACTTATTGTAATCAACAATGTCGAAACATATTTTTTATGTTTAAATTGCAGGCCTTGAGCGAGTACATGGGTTTACTTTTGGTGATAGTCTTGATGATACCAGAAGGAGAAAGTGGAAGGAGTTCAGAACAAGACTTGACAAGGTTTGCGCATTGTATAATCTCGTTTTCACCATAACCATGTATCTGAGGTCATTGCTTCCCCATGTTTTGTGGTTATATGCATCTTTAAATGTATCAGCTCAACTAACTGGTTTCCTACTTTCTACCTTTGCCAAGCCCCAACTGCAGAGTTTTACTTTTCCATATTGTTTTCTGTTGTTAATTTGTAAACTTGAACAGTCGACCTCTCAAATGGATGCACAGAACTAATTAGTTGGTTAAGAAGGATCCACTATGCATGTTAATAAAAGAAACGAGTTCAGTTATTGATTATTACTAATTAATCCGATATGAGGGATTTCTAACTGTACTTTTACACGTGCACTATTCTCATCATTGAAAAGTAACCATAGCTGGTGGGCATAAAGTCAAATACCTGAGTGAATTTGAAGCTACGAAAAAATGAACGCTGCGTTGCCTATATTTTAATGCCTGAAACACTATAACAGTTTTGCTAGAATACTTTGGAAAAGGAATTATGAACTTTCTAGTCATCTTGGTCTCTAGTGTTTGCTGTTATGTTCCTCTTTTCATGAACTCTCTCCTTCCCATTGTATCATTTCCCATAATGATTTACTGATACTTGTCCTCCTAAGTTCATATTTTCGCTCACCTCTGAACATCTTTCCTCATACGCTGTCACTTTGTGCTCTCTTCGATCACATGTTCTTATAGTATTGTTTTAGAGTAGCATTATGTCTTCATTTAGGCATTGATGCACGACCGAAATTGTCCAAATTAATGCATCCTCTTCTTAGTTTTCCCTTCAAATATCTAATCTCATCTCTATGTTTCCTTGCGCCCATGGAATGGTTAATTTGCCTCCTGGAAGTTGATGAAGAGTAAGTGTCGAGTGGATTTGTTTGGCAAAAAATCATGATAAGGCGTCGGTATCTGAAAATCTTGTTGAAGCAAATCTTCACCCTTGCTATATATATTAAATAGTTGTTTACTAGTTTCTACACTTCACGGGATTGTATGTTTTCCATAGTTTGAAACTCTACCCCCACCATTTTGAATATGCTGTAGCTGGCAACTCATTGAATTACAACTAGGCTTGAAACGGATTGTGATGCTATTCCTGGTGGCAATGTTCAATGCAATTGTGGTTTAACCCTCGAATATGCTGTGTCAATTCTCAATCAACTCCTGCCCTGCAAGAGCACTACTTTCGCACCTCTATGGAGGTTGTTCTGTCTTAAACATCTTAGAGAAGCATCTTGGTGCTCCTTAGCTACTTTGATTTTATTTTTGGACTATTATTTAAAATTTGAATTTGTATGGGCTCGGGCCCAATCTCATTAGGGTTGCTTTACTATTTAAACCTATTTTGCATTTTAATTTTCAGTTGATGAATGAATAATGCTTTGGTGGCTTATGGCGCATTCCTCTCTTCCTATTTTCTCTCTTCCCTTCTATTGAATCCCCCGTCCCCTTTCTTCTCTCTAATTCCCCCTCCCCATAGATCTATTCTAATTTGCAATTAGTTGTTCCGTTGGTGCTGCATCAAATTTGGTATCAGAGCTAAACCTTGGGTAATTTCTTTCCTACAATCCAAAAGTTCTTCTCATCTCTTCCCAAAATTTGTTGGAACAACACAATTGAAATAGATTTAGCGTAAAAGCAACGTTTGTCATTTTTTATTTTTAGTTCATTGTCATTCAAAAAAATAAAATAAAATCGCGCTACTGTTCATACCCGAAATTCCAATATAGAATTTTTACAATTTAAAAAAAAAAAAATAATTTAGAGAGAAATTTCATTCAGTGCTGCTGCTAAAGTGTTGTTTTAACCCTAATTCTCAAATATTAGCCCCACATACAAAACCAACCGATAACCCCAATCCCAAACTCACTCAGCCCGTAGCTCACAGCCCAACACCCACATTAGCCCATTACTCAACCATTTAAATTCTCTCGACCCGACCCAATCCTTCAACATCACCATGCCTCTCTGCCTTCCCGACATCTCAGCGCCGGCTTCATCTCCCTTATCAACTCAACTGCGCCGGCGACCCTACTCTTCAACACCGTTGGCGCAGCCCCACATCATTACTCACACAATCCACCGCCAACAACAAATCCACCACAAAGCTTGCACTTTAAACTCGTCTCTGTCTGAACTGGCCCTCCTCCCAGATGCCGTCGCCCGCCGCCACAAGCTACCAAAAGACCTCCACCCTCGTCTATTACGCACGACCATCTCGGTTTCTTCTCTACACTCACACACCAAAAGTTCGACTCTCCCCCTCTCGTTGACCGTTCGTCCAAGTCAGTCACATAACCATAACCACCATTCTCAAGTCACAATACAGCACACCCATGAGCAGCCGTAGCTACTCGCATCTCTGTCGAGCTCAACACGATCCCAGATTTTTATTGAACACCTACAACAAGCTGCCCTTCTTGGATTCTCGATTTTGACTTCTCATCTTTGCCTTCGCACCTGTCGACCTCTATTCTATTGGCAAGAATATACACATCAACCCAAATTCAAAGGAATTCAGATTCGTCAGAGGCAATTTTTGTGGAATTGGCTAATATTTGTACCATTCCACCAGCATGCATCACAAATTTAGCAGGAGGAGTTCCTAAGTTGAAGGCAACTGAAGCAAGGGATAGAACAGAAACGTACCTGGGGTCCCACACAGTGGCAATTCAATCCAATCGGGATATTGGGAGTCACAACCGAACTGCAGGGAGTCACTACTCTTATCTATCTTTCGTTTATACCGTTGCTTCATTTTAAAATTGCATCAATTACAATATTAGTGTTGCTATTATTTGCTAATTATAGCCTTACACCCTACTAGATCGAATTTCATGAATTAACTCTCTTTGTTCCCCGATTACCCGCGTGATTAGTCATTTCGAATAATCCATTATATCCTTGCTTTCAATTTTATTTGCACCAGTATTATTAGCTTGTTAAGATCGGACTTTCCGTAATCCCATTTTTTAACAAACACCAAAAAAAAAAAAAAATTATATATATATATATATATATATATAGGTGCGCTATAGAGATCAATAAACAACAAGTGCCAACAGTAGATTCGCAATCTAAAATTTTATTATTATTATTTTTATTTTATTTATATATACACACACCAAATGGGGGGTATGCTGTTTTAATAGGCTGTTTTGTTTAAATTTTTAACATTTTAATAACTTTAATCCTACTCAGTACTCTCCTTAGTTTTCTATAAATCTTTCTTCAAAATCATAAATAAATCCTTTTTTTTTTCATTTAAATTTTCACCACCAGTGATATATAAACTTGAAACTGATTTCTTTTTATAAGGTTACCCGTGGTACTCCCTTATAAAATTCTTAGATTAATTTTTTTCTTTTCCCCAGCATCTTTGGAAAACATCAAAAGGCTCACTCCGGCCAAAAGTTTTCACCTATCTGGGTCACTCAGGATTATATTTATCATTTCATCCTATGCATATAATAAAAGTATGACTTGATTTCTAGACGTCATACTGTTTTTAGGTTAATCCTGAGTGACCCAGATATGTGAAAACTTTTGGCCGGAGTGAGCCTTTTGATATTTTTCAAAGATGCTGGGGAAAGGGAAAAAATTAATTTAAGAATTTTATAAGGGAGTGCCACGGGTAACCTTATAAAAAGAAATCAGGTTCAAGTTCATATGTCATAGGTGGTGAAAATTTAAATGAAAAAAAAAAGAAAAAGGGATTTATATATGATTCTGAAGAAAGATTTATAGAAAACTAAGGAGAGTACTGAGTAGGATTAAAGTTATTAAAATGTTAAAAATTTAAACAAAACAGCCTATTAAAACAGCATACCCCCCATTTGGTGTGTGTATATATAAATAAAATAAAAATAATAATAATAAAATTTTAGATTGCGAATCTACTGTTGGCACTTGTTGTTTATTGATCTCTATAGCGCACCTCACTTAGCTAGTGTTACCGTGTATGCAATTGCGTAGTGGTCGTGTTATTGCGTCTAGTGCTAGTACCCTTGTCATGGACCCTTCCCAAATTGAAGCTCTCACCCGACAGTTAGCACAATTACAAAATCAATTAACGGCTGTCCAAACTGAGGTAGATACTACTCGTGAGGAGAATAGAACTCTAACCGCTAGGTTGAACACTCTTGACCCAACCTAATACTCAACTGAAGCTGAAAACTCTGACGCTTCCATTAATAGACCTCATCGTCGTCCACAAGGTGGTCGACACCACGCCAGACATGATCGTAGGGAGGGAAATCAAGCTCGTGGACGCGAGCGAGAATATCACCGTCATGGTACACTATCTCCCCCTCGCCACGAGGAGCGCTTATTTCGAAATATTAAGTTAGATGCCCCTACATTTGATGGTTGTCTAGATCCTAGTGTATTCAATCAATGGGTTAGAGATATGGATCGCTTCTTTGCCTGGTATGGGGTCCCGGAAGATCGGAGGGTACAATTTGCCAGTTTGAAATTAATTGGCACTGCTCAACTCTTTTGAGAAAGTGTTGAGGGCCTTCTGGAGAGGCGTCATGCTCCCCCTGTTGGGAGTTGGGATGAAATGAAGCGTCGTCTTCAAGAAAAATATTTACATCAATCTTACAGGGGTAACTTGTTGGATCAATGGAACGCACTTACGCAAGGCAGTTGACGGGTGACCGAATACGTTGCTCAGTTTGATGAGTTTCGAATGAGATGTCAAGTCGTTGAGGATGAGGTCATGACCTTGAGTAGGTTTAGGCAAGGCCTAAGGTATGATCTTAGACGTGAGCTTGTCCTTAGAGGCGTCACCACTCTCGATCACGCCTGCTCTTTTGTTCGGGATTACGAGTTAGTGACTAGGACACCGTATAGAAATCGTAGTGACTCCCGTGCTGCAACCTCTTCTACGTCCACTCCATCCCCTAAGTTTATTCTAGGACCTCCTCCTTTTAATACTACCTCCACATCGGATAGCAAAGGTCGAGGTTCCGAGGTTTCAAGAACGTCCTCTCGTGTGCAATGCTTCAACAGTAAGGGTTTTGGTCACATTTCTTCTAAGTGTCCTAGCCGAGCCCTAGTTATGGAAGAGTGTGAAGGTATAGTCGACGAACCACTAGAGGACCAGGTTTATGAGCTTAAGTTAGAAGAGTTTGATGACTTGGAGGATAGTGAAGATACCTTCTTAGGTTGTATTCAGGTTAGTCCCCTTATTCCACATACACCTAGAGTCGGTGTCGTTCGTTGTACTCTTACCCAGCATAGGGATGCCGATGATTGGCGCTATCATGTCATTTTCCACACTTACATTAAAATTAATAACAAGGGCTGTAAAGTTATCGTAGACAATGGCAACTGCATTAATGCGGTTTCGATGGCTACTGTATCCCGTCTAGGGTTGAAGTCTAATCCTCACCCTCAGCCATACAGCGTCTCTTGGGTTGACACCTCTTCTATAGCTGTCAAGGAGCGTTGTTTAGTCCCTATCCAATTTCTCGAGTATAAGGACCATATATGGTGTAACGTCATTTCAATGGATGTCGGGCACATCATCTTGGGACGACCTTGATTATTTGACCTAGATGTAATCATCTATGGTCGATCTAATTCTTGTTCCTTCGTGTTTACTGGAAAGAAGATTCACCTTAACCCTCTATCCCCAAAGCATGTTGGCCCATTGGAAACGAAGAAGAGAGTGGAACGAAAGGGATTGCATATCATTAGTCCTACGGAGTTTGATCGTACACTTGTTGGTGACTCAATTGTGTTCGCTTTGGTGGTCATGGAGGTTCCACCCCACTCCACCATAGAGAGCCCTGTTGAAGTCCAGTCAATCCTTCAAGAGTTTCGAGATGTCTTTCTGAAGGACCTACCTGATCATCTACCTCCTCTACGGGATATTCAACATGCCATAGATTTCATCCTAGGGGCATCCCTTCCAAATTTGTTTCATTATAGGATGAATCTTACCGAGCACGCTGAGTTTCAAAGGCAAGTGGATGACCTCCTTCACAAAGGATTCATTCGTGAGAGTTTAAGCCCGTGTGCTGCCCCCGCCCTATTGACGCCCAAAAAGGATGGTTCTTGGAGGATGTGTATGGACAGTCGTGCGATCAATAGGATCACGGTGAAGTATCGTTTTCCCATTCCTAGACTTGACGATATGTTGGATATGATGGTGCCACAATCTTTTCGAAAATTGATTTCAAGAGTGGGTACCATCAGATCCGAATTCGCCCAGGTGATGAGTGGAAGACTGCGTTTAAAACGAAAGATGGTCTTTATGAGTGGCTGATCATGCCTTTTTGGCTAAGCAATGCGCCAAGTACCTTTATGCGGGTAATGACGCAAATTCTTCGACCTTTCATGGGTAAGTTTCTTGTTGTCTACTTTGATGATATCCTCATCTATAGTAAGATTAAGAAGCAACACCGTGACCACCTCACACAAGTTTGCTCTACCCTTCGTGCAACTAATCTGTATGCTAATGTCAAGAAGTGCTCTTTCTTCACCGATACAGTCGTTTTTCTAGGGTTCATTGTCTCTTCGACAGGAGTATCTGTTGACCCTGCTAAGGTTTAAGCGATTATTGACTGGCCTGAGCCTAAAGCTATTTATGACGTCAGGAACTTTCACGGCTTAGCTACATTTTACTGTCGCTTTATCAAGGGGTTTAGCACTATTATGGCGCCTATCATGGAGTGCATGAAGAAAATGGAGTTTCATTGGACACAAGAGGCGGCTAAGGCCTTTAAGTTAGTCAAGAAGAGAATGACGGAGGCTCCTGTTTTGCGTCTTCCCGACTTTTCCAAAGTCTTTAAAGTTGAATGTGATGCCTCCGGGGTAGGTATAGGCGGAGTTTTGAGTCAAGATCGTCACCCTGTTGCCTACTTCAGTGAGAAGTTAAATGAAGCCAAACAACGGTACTCAACTTATGATAAGGAACTGTATGCGGTGGTCCAGGTTTGTGCTATTGGCGCCATTATTTGTTGCCCCTGGAATTTGTCTTTTATTCGGATCACGAGGCCTCCGTTACCTTAACTCCCAGAAACGATTAAGCTCTAGGCATGGTCGTTGGGTCGAATATTTGCAGGCCTACTCATTTGTTTTAAAACACAAGAAGGGCGTGGAAAATCAAGCAGCTGATGCATTAAGTCGTCGTGTCTCCCTTTTGTCGATCAGTTTCAAGGTCATCGGTTTTGAAAGGCTTAAGGAGGATTACGAGGCATATCCCGATTTTAAAGATATCTTTCTTGATTTACAAAGGTGACAATCAGGCGCCACAGATGGCTTCCGACTTGAGGAGGGTTATCTCTTTAGAGCCCATAAAAATGGGCATCCCTCGAACTTCAATGCGAGATTTCATAGTGTGGGAAGTTCATGCGGAAGGATTAGCCGGTCACTTTGGACGTGATAAGACCATAGAGGAAGTTGAACGTCAATTCTATTGGCCTAGCTTGAAGAAAGACGTGGCTAAGATTGTTAGTACTTGTAAAACTTGTCAATTGAGTAAACAGAAGAAGCAGAACAAAGGCCTATACACCCTTCTTCCTGTCCCCAATTGTCCTTGGCAAGATGTTGGTATGAATTTTGTATTAGCCCTTCCACGCACCCTAAAGAAACATGATTCTATTTTTGTGGTTGTCGACCGTTTTTCAAAAATGGCTCATTTTATCCCCTGTAGTAAAACCTCAGATGCGTCTAAGGTGGCTATGTTGTTCTTTAATGAGATTGTTAAATTGTATGGGCTTCCTAAGACAATTGTGTCCGATAGGGATGTTCGTTTCTCTAGCCATTTTTGGAGGACTTTGTGGCAAAAGATGGGTACCAAATTGAAATTTTCAACGGCCTACCACCCTCAGACTGACGGTTAAACTGAAGTAGTTAATCGAAGTCTTGGTAACCTATTACGTTGTCTGGTCCGGGAGAATCTTCGAAATTGGGATTTGATCCTTCCTGTCGCTCAAATTGCGTATAATAGCTCCATAAATCGTTCAATAGGTATGAGTCCATTTGAAGC